CCTTATAGTACTAAGCAAAAGTCTTAGGATGTCTGATACAAATAGAAGACCAGTGGGATTTTCCTTATTCATGTTTGGGGAAATACTCACCTGAACTTAAAGTCAATGGTATTATGGTTTTTTCCGTTTTTGCCTGGAACCTATTAATTGGGTTTAGGCTTTTCTACTGGTTCTAGGCCATTGAATAAGTCATGCAAGTTGCTAATATGTGGAGAATGACAACCTCGTGATGTCTACAGATATCACTGAGCAATGAACAAATGTTAATTGGAAAGAAATGAATATAGGGTCCAGAATGTAAAAGAAAACCAACTAAGCCATTCACCAAAAGGATACTATAATGTCATAAAATCCAGTTTCGTTCCACTATCTGGGTAGGTTGAATACTTCATAATAGAAACAATATAGGACAATATACAACATTGTCATTCACCATCAGTGTTCTACGACGAAGTGGTTTTTTATTTCTAAACCTGGAGTAAGGTCACAATTAACGAGGTTTGGAACAAGGATTCTGAAATCTGCTGCCAATGAACTTTACGAAGTTGATACAACGAAAAGAAGGCTAGCGATAGCCTCCTAGTAAGTAACACCTAGATTTATGCTCTCAAAATTTATGGCATTTAGCACAAGTTCTAAAATCTAGGTACCAATAAGCAAGGTATGAATTGAGGGTAATAAAGAACGGGGGATGTGTTTACATGCAGTAGACTCAGCTGTAAAATTAACAAATGAAGAGCATGAACATGTAAGCACAAATTGTGGCATAGCTTCAAATACAAAAGCAGTCAGCTAGACCTCATAAATTGTGGCATAGCTCTAAATATTTGCTTCGATAGACGGTCATGCGATTGTATAAAGTATAAACATAGATGCACACATTTAACATTTCCATTGCAATAACACAAGTTTGAGAATTCTCTACAACCCAGAACCCACATTCAGCTCATTGGAGCAACCAAAGTCCCAAATCAGAAAAAAAACCACAACACAAAAACATTTGAATTCCAAAAGGGTCGACATAAAACCGAAGCATAAGAATCTCAGGGAAATGAAAAAGGAAGCGTATTTGAATTGACTTACAGGCTAAGAACGCATCGAGTGACTTGGCGACCTTTGTCGAGACACTTCTCAGGGTTCGGATCTTTCTTCTTGCACTTGAGAAAAGCCACGTTTTCGGCTTGGCACTGGAACTGAATGTGCTTCGACGCCGCCGTCAGAACTGCCGATGTTGGGATTGGATCTCCTGCTGCGTCCACTGCGCTGGCCATCTTCACTTCCTCCGATCGATTCTGATAAAAATAAAAGATCGAAAATTTGAAATGAACAACGTGAATTTCGAGAAATTGAATTGAGAAAGAAAGCGTAGAATTGGTAAATTCCGTACCTTTTCTTCTCTTTCCTATCGGTTTCTCTGGTTCAATGAGTTTCCTCAGCTGAGTGAGAGAAGGGGGGAGAGGAAATGAGAGTGCTAGGTTTACGATGATAAGAAACACAAACCAGCTAGCTCAGCTGACTCAGGAGTTGGAGGACCAAAAACAAAAAGGTAAGGGTATTTCAGTCCTTTGACACAAATGGTGTCCATTAAAACGGCCGCGTTTCGTTTTGGTTAGGGCTCTTTTCTTCTCTCAACTCTCTGCATCATATTCTCTCTATTTCGGCTTCCTCCTCTCTGACAACTACAAAGGTTTGAACAGTAAGTACTCAATTCTCTCAACCATTTCTAACGAAAAGATTTCCATTATCTGTCTATTTGTTGCTGTTGCTGTTGTTGTTATTTTACTTGTTTGTTTGTTTTGAACTGGGAATGGTTGGAGGCTTGTAATAATGGAGATGGATTATGGATAGATGGAAAGGATTAGATTCTTTTTTTTGGGTTTTCAATGAATAATATCTTATCTTTAGGGCAAATATGATTTGGGTTTTCTTTTTTGTATCAGGCGTGTTGAAGATGTTAGTTTAACATGCACATGTAGATAATATATGGATTTTAAGTGGGTTTTCAAAGTTTTTGTTCTTCTCAGTTGCAAAGAGCTTTCTTGATTGATTCTATACCTATGTGGCCTCCCTTAATAATTTCACTTTTAGGGCACACATTTAAACCTGCAAGTATGGTGGCCCTGTGAGTTGTGATGGGTTTTCCGTACTAGGATTACTTACTCTCATTATAAGTTGTTCTGAAATCTTGAAATGGATTAGGATTACAGATGGTTGTTGTTCTTCATCTTGACTAATTTTTCCTTTCTGTTGGGGGCAATATTGAAGGTCATGTGAAGACCAATACCTATTTAGTAATTTTCATGTTTCCTGCAGATGCACATCTTTAGTTTAACACATATTTATCTGCCCACCCTTATTATGTAGTGAAACTTGCCTTTTTCTGTTACTTTTGATTGGTTCTCTCTTTCTCTTGCTTGAATTAAGGAATGGGTGACAAAAAGAAGAAGGCTACCGTTTTCATCCGACTTGTCTCAGCTGCTGGCACCGGATTTTTCTATGTCAAGAGGAAGCCTACTAAGGTGACAGAGAAGCTTGAGTTCCGAAAATTTGACCCTCGGGTAAATCGTCATGTTCTATTTACGGAGGCAAAAATGAAATGAGCAACCTGTCTGTCCAATATAGATGATTTCATTGCCCCACCTTGTTTTTCTTTCTGTTGTAGACACTTTGTTTTAAGGTAGAGACCTAACTCCTAAGAATATGCAGTCGTTATTGGTGGTGTCCATTTTATCTTGATGAAAGTTCGTGCTTTCCCTATCTGAAGTATAATAAGTTCAAATTTTGTTTGGCCATTCAACTAGTCTTATGCTGTTCCAAAACATGGTTGATTGAAATGTTGAGGAGCTTTTATTAAGAGTTAATATGATGTGGTTTCTTTTTTGTAAAGTCATCATGCTATCTCCCCTTTGTCTCCTACATGACCATATGATCTTTGCCTATTTCAGACCTAAGTTGCTAGTTTTTTGAATTTGATTTGTTTTCTGGGTCTCAAGGTTTTTGCTTTTGGGCTCCAGTCTTCAGAGTTTTTTTTTTTTTGTTTTTTGGCCAGACTTAAGTGTTGGAGCTTCATCAACCGAAGTTGATTCGGTTTGGGTGAAAAAAAAAAACGTTGGCTAAAACATGGAAAATTTGATGGGATATTTAGTCTTAGACCCATTCTTAGCACTAATAATATAAATAAACTCTACACCATTTAATTTCTATAAACAAACCAAAAGAAAAAACAGCTGGCATTATTGAATTTAATTTTGATTATTAAATTACTTTGATGCCCTATTGAGTGTTTTGGGGTTGAGTTTGTTTTAAGAAATCAATGATAGTTTTGTAAATTAAAATAAGTTAAAAGCCTTTTTGTTATGTTGTAAATAGGCTTTGGGTGTGTTTCTAAAGTCCATTTTATATAATTTTTTTATTTTATAATTTGTGCTCTTATATTGAGTATAATAGTGAATTTCCCAAATTTGATTTGGGTGAAATCGTGATGGGTTATTTTAACGAATGGGCCTTCAATTGATAATGTCATTTTGTTATCTTCTCAATTGGCTGATATTTTTTCGTTCTCTTATTGCTCTTGGAATAGTAGAAGTTGAAGCCTTTTTTCAACAAACAATTTTCACCTTATTTTTTTAATGAATTTTTCAGGCCAAGTATATAATGGTAACAAATAGCAATGTGTTGTAAATTATTATAATAATATAGTTTCATTAAGGTGTAAGCAGATGTTGGTTAGCCTTAGTCAGAGGAGTGAGCTCGCGCTCTTGCATCCAAATTTTAATTCGTCTGTCTATAAATTAGATTAAATTAGAGTAATTTAGACTAAAACGTTTAGTAAATTTCCATAATAAAATGATCCGAAAGAACAGACACGCTTCTGATACCTTATCCGTATCTAACAAGCGTGTAGAAGCAGCCAAAACAGCATTTTTGATACCTACCTGTCTACATCCAATGAATGATTCTCTTAGGCTGAACACTGCTAGGCTTGTCCCGGTGGTGGTTTTTTTTTTTTCACCCTGATTTTTCTTGGGCTTCGGCCTTCCTTGTAAGTTGTAACCCCAAAAAATAATAATAATAATAAAAGGGATCCCATTGAAGGCATTAAACAGAGACGTTCAAATTCCTACCTTAAATTCAATATGTTAGAGCATATATGGATTAGGTTTGTGTGTGTCGTACACTCGAGTTTGATTATTGTCTTCGGCTTGGCGACAGAAATCTTCCAACACCATAAAACCCAATTGCACATAAACATCTAGGGCTTGGGATTGTAGCTGTGTGGCATTGCAGTGGCTGTGCAGCGTGGCGGTGTTGTGATCCTTTTGATTTGGGATCGTGTAAGATAACAATTTGTATTGAATTGTGGTACCACATCTTGCTAATATGTCGCGTAGTGATCTTATTTCAACTTTTATTAAATATGTTCGTTGAGATACTAGATAACAGTCACGTGAACAACTCAGTCTAACATTCATTTATAATATAACAGTATTTAAAAATTCGTTGTGACTAAACAACACTCACGTAACAATTGAGTTTAGCATTAATCTATAATATAAGGGTATTTTCCACAAATTCGTTGCGACTGACCCTAACCTTCCTTAATATAACGGCATTACACAAATTTTCTTGTTAGATAGCTGTTGGGGACCAGTAATGGGCAGTTTTTATTTTCAAGATAGTAATATATTAATATAAATTTATTAAATTAAAATGGATGACGTTGCAAAATAATGCGACTGCCACGTCAGTGAGTGACCACCAATTGGAAAATGTCTTTTTGTGTATTGCTGTATCATATCTATCATCAACCTATCTTTCTGTGATTTCTAGTGACGTGGGCCAATGAATGAGCACATGCACACCTTGATCCAGATACATTGGTGCTGGTAAAAAAAATTACAAGTTTGAATATGAAAAGTAAACAAGTTTAAGCTGTTTAGACCATTTTTGGTCTTTGAAAGCTCTTAATTTCCACTGAGTCGTAGACACTATTTCACAATCAGCCACTCATTATTCACAGTAACGCGTATTTCAGTCCTCTCTCTCTCTCTCTCTCTCTCTCTCTCTCTCTCTCTCTCTCTATTTATTTATTCAATTCCCCACTGACACTACCACCATTTTCACCCAGCACTTCCTCTCAGTGGGGAAACTCTCAGGCCTGAATTTCTTAATAACCCTTTTCTGGGTTCTTCTTCATTTCACTTCTAATTACAATTTTGAAGTTGTTCAGCTCTCTTTGAAGTTCTTCTACATGCAATGGCTCTTTGTACATTCTCATTTCCTGCACATATCAACCGGCCAACGGCACATTCAGATGCTCAGAAATCCACCTCTTTGTTGTATTCCCATTTCTCTTGGGGAACAGTTCTGCCATGCCAATCTCAGCACAAGCTCAATCAGGTTAGAACGTCTGCATCTTTCTTGTACAATTTAAGAAGAGGAACTCATTGCATGGCTGAAATGATTTAAGGAGGAACTGGGTTTTGTTTACTATGTCAATTTCATAATTCAGCACCTCCGAAAAACTGAACAGAACAAAAGTTTTTGCTGAAAGATAAGGGCTTTTTTGTTCTCATCTGGAACACACAGGTCATGAGGAAAAGGCCAGCTGGGATTTGTGCGTCACTGTCAGAGAGTGGGGAGTATCACTCACAGAGACCACCCACTCCTCTCTTGGACACCATAAACTATCCAATTCACATGAAAAATCTTTCTGTCAAGGTACATATCCGAAGGCCTATTACTAACTGATACTTTTTTGAATATCTTTTTTAATTTTTATATCCGGAAGAGCTTCAAATCTTTGCATAGCTTTAATTTGATCTTTTTTTCTTATGCTGATTGTGAATTCAGGAGCTTAAACAACTAGCAGATGAGCTGAGGTCTGATGTCATCTTCAATGTTTCTAAAACTGGAGGTCACCTGGGCTCAAGCCTTGGTGTTGTGGAGCTCACTGTGGCTCTCCATTATGTCTTCAATACTCCTCAAGATAGGATCTTATGGGATGTTGGTCATCAGGTTTCAATCTCATCTTCTTTGGTTCCTCAAGCTTGCAAACATATTGATCCTACGAATTTTCCATATTTGATTGTAAGTTTTTGTTTTGATTTATGTAGTCGTACCCACACAAAATCTTGACTGGGAGGAGAGATAAGATGCACACTATGAGGCAGACAAATGGGTTAGCTGGCTTCACTAAGCGCTCTGAGAGTGAATATGATTGCTTTGGCACTGGTCACAGTTCTACCACTATCTCAGCAGGCTTGGGTAATTTCTTCTTCTGCACCGCTTTGAAAGCTTTTTTTTGACCTTAACAGTATTCTTGTTTTGGTTATAAAATGATTTTATGATTAGAATCTAGAATTATGATCTGAGCTAAAAGATTTCCATTTAACATCTTTCCTTATCTTATTGAAGACAGTTTCTTATAGAACTAATTAAAAACCTGTTTAAGAATAATTCTATTATTGTGTAAATGAAAGAAATCAGCTTCCTTTGACAATATTTTTGTGTAACTGTTTGTGGGATCCTGATGATACACTTGCATCTTATGTTATGGAAAATGTTTATTATATTATCAGTCATACAATCACATTGGCCTTTTCTATATATGAATGATCCAATTGACTTCTATTTAATTTCTAAAGTTACAGTCTCGATTAAAATTCTTAGATCACAGCATTGATTTCTCTCTTTGGTTTTAACCTTTGGGATGTTACTCAACACACAGGGATGGCGGTGGGAAGGGATCTAAAGGGTGGAAATAATCATGTGGTTGCTGTAATAGGTGATGGTGCTATGACAGCGGGACAAGCTTACGAAGCCATGAACAACGCTGGGTACCTCGATTCTGACATGATTATAATTCTGAATGACAATAAACAGGTTTCGTTACCTACTGCCAGTCTTGATGGACCCATACCTCCAGTAGGAGCATTGAGTAGTGCTCTCAGTAGGTTGCAATCAAACAGGCCACTCAGAGAATTAAGAGAGGTTGCCAAAGTAAGTAATCTGAATTCAGAACAGAATTAAGCATAAAGAAAGCACAACATTTTTAAAATCTGGTGAGTCTGAATGTGGTTCAACTTTCATTTGAGTTTGTTGCAGGGAGTTACCAAACAAATTGGTGGTCCGGTGCATAATCTGGCAGCAAAAGTTGATGAGTATGCTCGTGGAATGATCAGTGGTACTGGTTCATCACTATTTGAAGAGCTTGGACTATATTATATTGGTCCAGTCGATGGTCACAACATAGATGATCTTATTGCCATTCTCAAAGAGGTTAAAAGTACCAAAACAACAGGTCCTGTCCTGATCCACCTTATCACTGAGAAAGGCCGGGGATATCCATATGCAGAGAAAGCTGCAGACAAGTACCATGGTAAATATGGAATTTCGTTGAATTATTTCCAAAATTGATCCATCTCATTCGCTCAAGATGCTATGCAAGGAAAACTGATACTCTTTAATGCAGTTAAAAAGATCTCACTGATGTGGTCTGCATATGCCTTATCTCAATCCATCAAGGACATTTAAGTAGTTTTGCTTTCGCTTTTGCTTTTGCAGGAGTGGCCAAGTTTGATCCTGCAACCGGAAAGCAATTCAAAGCCAGTGTTAGTACACAGTCTTACACAACATACTTTGCAGAGGCTTTGATTGCAGAAGCTGAAGTGGACAAAGATATTGTAGCAATCCATGCTGCAATGGGAGGTGGAACAGGCTTGAATCTCTTCCTCCGCCGTTTTCCAACAAGATGCTTTGATGTTGGAATAGCAGAGCAGCATGCGGTTACTTTTGCTGCAGGCCTGGCCTGTGAAGGCCTAAAACCTTTCTGTGCAATTTACTCGTCTTTTTTGCAGAGGGCTTATGACCAGGCAAGCTAATAGCTTCTTCCATATACGTCTTCCCCCATCATTATCTTCTTTTGAAATTTTATATGTTGCTATTCTTTTATAGTTCAAAGGTTGTATTCTCTGGGTTCATGCCACAGGTGGTACATGATGTAGATTTGCAGAAGCTGCCTGTGAGATTTGCCATGGACCGAGCTGGACTGGTTGGAGCTGATGGTCCCACGCATTGTGGGTCTTTTGATGTCACTTTTATGGCATGCCTGCCTAACATGGTGGTGATGGCTCCTTGTGATGAGGCAGAGCTTTTCCATATGGTAGCCACGGCTGCGGCCATAGATGACCGACCAAGTTGTTTCCGATACCCAAGAGGAAATGGGGTTGGTGTTCAACTGCCGACAGGGAATAAAGGCACTCCTCTTGAGGTGACTTTCAACAGTCTCTACTTCTATATATCTCCATAGTGGTGGAAAGTCTCAATATTATTTTACAAGATAATTAAATGTTTGGTAATTCATCTACAG